TAGGGCGCGCCTTGTTGCCTTGCCGTCTCATCGTAGGTCTCCTGGCCCTCCCTCGAAGCTTCTAGGGTCTCTTATGTCTAGAAAAAAATTGCCAAAAGTTTCATCGTGTTTAGACTCCGGTTGGTATAGATTTTCTATAAAACCAAAAACAAGCAGAAAACAACAACTGACACTAGCACTGAGTTAATAGGCTGGTTCCAAAAATGATATAAAATTCCATATTAAGTATCTAAGATTGATAATATAATAGCATGAGACAATCAAAAAGTATAGATACGTCAGAGACGTATCAACATCCCGAAGCTTAATTCTTGCTCGTCCTCGAGTAGGTAAACGGTAAAAACATATTTTTTTTGATGTTGAATGCTACCTAGCATGTTTATCATGTAATTTTTTACGGTATAAATATTGAGAAAGGATGAACTAATTGATGTAAACATAATAATATCCATGGCACTAGAAAGGTCTTGCGCTATCTGAGAGGTAGTATGAGTTATGGAATTCACTATTCAGGGCATCCTATTGTGTTAGAAGGATATAGTGCTTCGAACTATCTCTGATGTTGATGTACTATATGCCACAAGTGGGTATGTATTTACTCATTGAGGTGGCGCAGTGTCATGGAGTTCTTGCAAGCAGACCATATTGACGAGGTCAAATATGGAAGTCGAACTAACTGCTTTAGACACGGCCACTGTTGAGGCAGAATGGTTGCGCGAGCTCTTTATGGACTTGCCTGTGGTTGAAAAATCTCTATCGACTATTCTTATGAATTGTGACAACCAAACGGTTATCGCTAAAGTGAAAAATTCTAAGGACAATGCGAAGTCATCAAGACACGTGAAGATACGTTTGAAATCTATTAGGAAATTGAGAAACTCCGGAATAACAATTGTACGTATATTCAAACCGACAAAACCTTGGAAATCTCTTCACAAAGGGACTATTATGAAATATGATAAATATTGCATCGAGGGAGATGGGTATGAGACCCATAGATGTTACACCATAGTAGTAACTCAACCTTTGTGATCGAAGATCCTGTGAATTAGGACGTGGAAAAAACAAGCTATTGGTTAACTGAGAAGAGTAATATGTGACCGTCTCTAGGTGAAGATGCAAACCTCTCAAAGTTGTAAGGAAGGTTGGCAACATGCCTTAAAGGATTGTTAGAATATTAGGCAAATTCATGACTAATTTCAGTAAATAATTCGTAACTATAGAAGAAATTAGCATGCAACAATCCAGCATACTAGGTGAAGAGGAAAACATGCACAACAACATCGCACATGAAGCAGCAACAGCAGATAGGGACATGAACAAATCACGATGAATGTACTGTTCGTTGGTTGCTGTGGGAGCGATGATGTTGATGCGATGTCGGCGACGGAGATGACGATGAGTAGCACCGCCCGTCTTTGATGGAAGATGACCCGTGATGATGAACTTGAGCAGTCGTGCAAAGCGCTTCCCAAAAATCTAATTCGTCCTCTTCTAGTACAAGATCGCATGGATGAACAGTGCCGGAGACCTGCTCTCCTGCACACCGATGCACACTGGCGTTCGGGGTATAGTAGACTATGGTGGCGGCGCCAGTTGCGAGATGAGGCAAAACCCTAGGTGTTTTTGATGTATCTTTGGTAGCATTATATATAAAGCATTAGAGGCGGTATTGTGTCACGATCACGATCTCAAACCGACTTGGATTCTAACTCATACACTTATCGGTACAAGGAAGTAATTAACTTGTCTACCAAGACATCAAAAAATAAAAATGGCAAAAATAAAAAGAAAGATGCACCCCTGGAAGGCAATATATCGGATTTTGGCGGACCATTCATGCGCGTGTCGCGTGCACATGCCTCCCCGGCAAGCCGGCAGGCAAGCGAGTGCGCGTGTGTGGTCTCCTATTTCTTTCCTCAATGCATCACTTAGAGTTGTGAACAGAAGCCACCATATAAAGAGGTCCAACACTTTCTCAACTAGCGGTATGGGACTAAACTTTAGCACCACATCACCATTTGGCATTTTTTCAATGGGCTCGTTTGAGATTTCAAAATTTGTTAATGGGTAAAGCCCATTTATTTCTAACACCTGGGCAACATCTGATACAAATCTGCTTTGTG